CCGCTTCTCTCCGTGCGGGACGGGGCTGAGCCGCTCGGGGCAGGCGGCGGGGCATGGGGACGGGGCTCTGGGGACCATCCGGCCGGGCTCAGCCCCCAGCCCTGAGCTAGCAGTCCTGTGCCTGGCGGGCAGGGCTGCCTTGAGCACGCAGGGTTGAGCCGAAATCCTGAAGTTCGTAGCTTTTTTTTTTTCCTCCCCTCTTCTTTCTCCCCCCCAGCCCCCCTTCCTCTGGTGCTTCCAAAGAGCCCGTAAGGTCTGCAGTGAGAGAGAGAGAGAGACTGGGGGAGGAGGAAGAATTAAGGAAGGGAAAAGATGGCGAGTTGCAGGAGCAGCGTGGAGAAAGCAGCGGTTTTGTGCTGCTTCTTGCTGGCAATGGGGAGCCTAACCTCCTGCGCCCGGCTGGAGGAGGAGGAAGAGCAAGAAGAGCAGCGCTCCTGTCACGGTGCCTTTGATCTCTACTTCGTCCTGGATAAGTAAGTGACAGTCGCATTTAAAAACGTTTATTCACCCTTCAGTGCCTCCTTGCAGCAGCAGGGACGTTGTTTCCCCCGTCTCCCCGGGTGCCTTCCCCCACCTGCCCTGGTGCCAAACAAGATGTGTGGGGCAGGATCCTTATTTTTTGCTCCCCAAAACTTGCATGTTTCCCAAGCGGAGCATTTAGGGGAGCACTGTGCTTTATCCTGAGTTAGTTGCACATGCAAACCTGGGAAATCGGGTCACCTTCAGGTTGTGGTGCGTGGGCTGTGAGCGTTGGATTTGAGGGGATGTTGGTCAGTGTCCCCAGCACTCCTGGAGATTGGTGTCAAGGCTCGGGCTAAGTGCTGAGATGTCACCTGTGGGATTTAGCAGCACCAGGGCTGTGCAGACCCACCTAAAGTTAAGATGAGACTGCTTGTGTGTAGTGGTTGCTTTTTTACAGACTCACTGTAAGGTTTTATAAAACTTGTTTCTGCTCAACTTCTTTGGAATTGTCTAAACCTGTGTTTGAGTTGCATCTATTAAAATAGGTTGGCAAATACTTTTCTTTAATACTATGTTAGCCCAATTTAGGTATGGCCAGAGGGTATGGTTAAGCTCACACTCATAGGCATGTTATAGCAAGCACTAGCAAAGTGAGTGGTAAAGTGGTACACCCACAGGTGTTTTTCAGAAGGCACAAATTTCTGTTTCTCCTGGTGCGCTGCTCCAGCTTGATAGCCAAGGGTTAAACTCAAGGAAGAAATTGTTAGTCTCCCACATATACTCAGTGTGATGGTTGTGTTATCTAATACAACCTGGGTTACGTATGTGACATGGTATTAGGAAAGACTGAAGCTTTTTCTTCGTGATTCTCACCCATAAGCCAGGTATGAAGGCTGCATTGTGCTGTTTCCCGGTTGGGAGAACTGTTCAGTCCATCAGACCTTCTGCACAGCCTGCACGAGGCAAAAAAACACCATCACTCAGGAGCCAGTATATTCCCGTATTCAAGAAGAAGAAGAAAAGTGGCTTTAAGTAGTGATTCTGGTTTTAGAGCAAAAGGATCTGAAGACCAAAGGCATTCTGCCTTTCTGAAAGATGCAGTAACACACCGTGTGGTTGTTTTTTGTTTTCTTTCACTAAGAACTTGTTCCTGAAGTAACCTGCATGTCTAGAAAGAGCTCTGTGGGGGGCTAGTGTCAGTTCACAAATTCATTCTCGCCAGGCTTTCAAGAAGTGACTGGTACTGTTGTTATGCTCACTTCCCCTATTGAATTCCCTGTAACAATAAATGTTGGTGATTGCAGTATGGGTTCTCTCTGTGACATGGTATCTATCTTCCACAGTGCAATTGCCTTCTCTAAAACGGCATTGTGTACCCCTAGCAATCACCACACTGCGTTCCTATGCTACTTTTCATCTGTAGCTCAGAAAGCACTTTACTGCTGTGATCGCTGTTATCATTCATGTTGTATTTGGGGAAATCAAGGCAGAGAAGAGAGTGACTTGCTCAGAGTTACTGATACGTCAAGCAGTAGAAAGTTGGTTGTGTAAGCAAGTTGCTCTTCAGCATTGTGGATGTGAAATCATACATTTTCTTCTAGCAGGCTGCAGGTCTTGTATCTTGGCTGAGGTGCTATCTACTCAGTACATTGCTCCACTGGAGACTGGATCTGATTACGGTTGAAGTAAAAGTCGTGCACTTCAGCTCCAGTGGGAAAATTCTCTTTGGCTTCAGTTGCAAACTGAGTCTTTATGCCGAAAGAGGAACCCTTCATTAAAAAGCTGCAGTAAAAGTTACTTGGGCCCCTGGATGGTTTTAGAATCCATCCCTGCTCCTACCGAGTCAGTGGCAATGCGGTGGCAAAGCTGCTTTTGGCCTCGATGAGATTGCATTACGATCCATAGAGGTAGTATGAGAGTGCCAGATCTGAGGAGCCATAGGTCCCATGCTGCCTTCCAGCTGTAACCAAATGTATGTGGTACTCGGGGTGGGGGTGCTGGCTGAGAGGGTATTTAGTCCCAGCTGTATTCTCTGGCACAGCACAGAGCGCTTTATGGAGGCAGGGAGCATTGACTGAGTGGGTAGGCTCTGGATCTTGGGACAGTTCAGCAACTAGATAATCCATTAGTGTTGAGAAGGGCCAGGGTATTCCTGGCAGGGAGAAGGCAGGAAGCCAGTCAGAAGCAGCTGGTCAAATCTGAAAATGCAGTGGACGCATTTTTTTAGAATTGGATCCATGCTGATACATATCTGGGAAGAATTCTGGCTCTAACTTCTAATGGGAGAATCCCCAGAAAAACCTAGCCCTATACACTACAGAGTATCCCCACGTGGCCTGGGGATTGCCTCCCTTCATTGGTGCCTCGCCAGTCTGGAGTTAGATGCATTCAGTCTTAATTATCTGTCTAACAATGGGATTGAAGCATTGGCTCTGTGAAAACTCCAGGCTTTAATCCTGTGACCCTGTAGCGTGCTCTTTAGCTGAATGACAGGCCTTGTCTCTGAAGTCAGCCTGGGTGAACCAAATGACTTTAAATCTGCTTTGCTTTGGTTCCCTATAGAAAGATGTAATCTCACATCAGTAGGAGGCAAATTGGAAGAAGGCAACAAACCTTTCTCCTTATGCATCTAAGCACTGCGTGTTACTGCAATGACTTTATTGGGGCATGATTTTTCTTTTTCATTCTGCCAGGCAAAGTCTGTGGGGATTTAATCCTGCAGGCAACAACTATCAGATGGAAAAGATCATCTGCTGGTGAAGTTATTGGTATAATATATATGCTGCCAATTAGAAAAAGAAATTCACTGATTTCTTACAGTTTTTCTCTAGTTGATTGCAGCCCTTTACGCTAACTCCATGGGATAGGCAAGATCAGAGCAGTGGAACTAAGCCTTGGATGTCCAAGAAGCTGGCATGGTGAAAGGGAAAAGCAGCATGTATGGGAGGGAGACCTGCCACCACCCTCCTTAGGATTGTCTGACCGTGCCAGAGCCACATCGGGACTGCCTTGTCTCTGGGGATGCTTAAATGAGCAAATCTCTTGAAGCTACGAGAACTGGACATTTGCTGGCTGCAGAAGCGGCTGCCTGGAGTCTGCAGTCTTGTGCTGTCTGTATGTCATACTTTACGAGTTATGCAGGCTTGAGCTTATCTAGAGGTGTAGTGGAAGACTTTAAAGTAGCATACTGAAGCAGCAGAAATTTTTCTCTTTGCAGCTAAGTCACTCCCTCTGCATGAGGTGAGGCAGTGTACTGTGCAGCTGGCACACCCATCTCTCCTATGGCATGTGGTAAGATCAAGTCACATGTGATATCAAAGATCTCGTTTACCTTTAAAGAAGCATAGGTCTTAAGCCCAACATAATGGATAGCTGAGTACTTCTCACTTGCTTTGGTTGCTTGATTTGCTTTGGTTGTCCAGGTGCATGAAGAACTTGTTTCAGTCCCATCCCAAACTGCTGTCCTCTTAGGGACTTGATTGCTTGACTATTCAGGCCTTGTAGTGACAGTCTCATGCTTGAGCATGTAAATAACTCTCTTTCATCCCTGCCTTGCTGTTAACATCCAGATGTTGTTCGTAATCATATTGAAATGCACTTGCACAGCAGAAAGGATGACTGACCTCTAGTGTTTCCTAATTATAACAGTGCCTGGTAGCAGTGTTCGGATTGTTTATTAGTGCAACAAATAGAAACCCTTTTAAAGTAAGGACTTATAACTGCCATAAATATTTGCTCCTGGCGATGCTTGACGCAGCAGATCTGAGCTGCAGAGCTGTCCGTATTTTGTATTTACCAAGTATGAAGAAATTTTTTTTATTATTTTTTGACTGTAGGACAGGATGGGAAATGGGGAGGAAAAAGAATGTGAGATAGTTGAAAGTATTTTCTCACTTTTCCTGCTGGGATGTTTGCTAAGAAATTGTTTGGATTTTGAGGAAAAATGAGCTGCACAGCCTTGGGAAAATGTTTTCTTTTTCCACAGCACAGACCATGGCAGTGCAAATGTCTTGAGTAAGGCCCTGGCAGATTTACTTTTAGAGCAGTGACTCTAACTCTTTTGGCGGGGGGCCTAGCCTAACTACCCTTTCTCTACTCCTCATCTTCCCCTGACCTGGGTAGTCCCTCTTCATGGTACTCCTGTCTCTTGAGCCCACAACAATATTGCCTTTCACATCGGTTTTGCTTTGTCTCCTGTGCTCCCAAGAGCATCCCTGTCAACAGCAACTTTGGTAAAAACATCAGTACAATGTGGCCAGTCAAGCCTTCTCGCTTGTAATCCATTTTCCAGCTGCCCCCCCTTAAACTTGGTAAGCCTCACTGCGGAGGTGAATGTCACTGGTAGGGAGCTGGCAGGGAAGAGCACAACCTCTGATCAGATGGGAAATTAGCTACCCTGTCCCATCTCCTTCCTGGTTTTGGCTTTTGGGTCCGTGCCCCCCCCCCCAACCTCCCCTTGAAAAGACAGCTTTGTGGGGGAGGGAGGTGTCGGGTGGGAGACAGGTCGATACTTCCTAACTCACTTCAGACAAGCCAAAAAACCATGAGAACAAAAGGCATTTCAGGAGCTGCTATTCTGTGCCAGCTTTTATCATTTTAAGGCAACTATAGTGAATTGCTGATCTCCGCATACCTTGTTTTTTCACAATATGGCATATTTTAAGCAAACAAAGAAGAGAGTTTGGTAAACACGTTTTGTGTCCCCCTTCCCCCTCCCGCATTATTTCCTTGCCAATGATTTGAATTAATTTAGCACTCATGAATTACAAGTACTAGCAAGAGCAAGTATTTTTGGCCTTAGGCTCTCACTGTAGCCCTCTCCCTTTCTTCCCATGTCCACATAGTCCCAGTCCAAGAGTGTTAGGATGGAGCTGAACCTGTGGGAACTTCTGCAGCTTCCCTCCGTGCTGTCTCGGTCCGATGCTGTTCTGTGTGCTGGTTTTACGCAGCGTGTGAGAAGAGTGTGGCTAGCAATGTTGTTGTGGTTGGAAATTGGACTGCTGGCAGAGTG